CTCAACATCAAAAAAACTAAGATCATGGCCACTAGTCCCATCACTTCCTGGCAAATAGAAGGGGAAGATATGGAGGCAGTGACAGATTTTACTTTCTTGGGCTCCATGGTCACTGCAGAGGGTGAATGCAGCCACAAAATTAAAAGATGCCTGTTTCTTGGAAGGAAAGCAATGATAAACCTAGACAGCACCTTAAAAAGCCCCCCTTTCCTCCCCACGCCTTAACTCAGTTTCTCTATTGCTTGACTGCCTGTTCATTTTTCAGTTTTGAGTCAGTCTCTCTCTCTCTCTCTCTCTTTCTCTCTCAGACACACACACACACACACGGACACGGACACGTACACACACTCCCTCCGTTTTCTCCCTCCATTTTCTACAATTACATACATGTAATTAAGCCTGATGAAGTCCTCAGCCTCTTGCACCTCTCTTTCTTCCCTCCTTCCCTTGCTTGCTCCTTTCCCTCCTCCTGCTTGTTTGCAGTCATTTCCGGAGGAAGCAGTCATTCAGAAACCCCGGATTGGCTGATTGCCCGTGCTAATCCCCACCTGTAACCAATTAGGTTTATCTCTCCGATCTCTCTAACAGAACCGAGCATTTAGAAGTGCCCTGCTGCAACGGAGGAAGTAACAGGGCGAGGTGGTTTACAATTAAAGCTTTGGCTCCAGACGGTGGGGGTGGGAGGGAGGGAGGGAAGGGGTTAGCAGCCTGCTCATTACCCCCAGGATTTTCACTTTTACGCCATTTGGGGTAATTTACCCTGTTCCCCGACCTATGTTCTAGAGAGTGTGTCTTTTCTGTGTATATGTAAGAGCAGTTTGGTGTCCATTCTTTTGTCTCTTGATAAATTATTGCAACACTGCCTACTTAATTTTTTAAGCTTGTAGCTGTACATTTTGGAATCTTGGGACAGACTACAAACAGTTGAAAAATACATATAAAACCTTAAAAGCCTAGTCTGGAACCACCGTGTCTCAAAAATAGTTCAGTGTTAGACTCAGTTTCTCTTGAAGAACTGATGTTAAAGTAGAAGCATGCTTTCCTGTGTTACTTACCATTTTTTGTGTAGTGGCTTGTATGTGTAATCCTTAAGAAGACTTGTGCACTCTTCTATGTATCTGTTTCATTTACATAAGGCAAGATTGTAAAAATCCCTAAAGGATCATTTTGAAAAGAGTCTGCAAATTTATATGTTACCAATGCTAAAATACTTCTAAATGCTTTATTACTAATTTATTAAGGTGTTTAAAAAATTGTTTGACTTTTAATTGAAAATTTCCTATGCTATGGCCAAAGTCCTGTTGTGTTGAAGAAAAATCATGGCAAATTGTGGATAATTAAGGAGTCCTGCTTGCATTGCTTACGACACCAATTGCAGGGCATAGTTTGAACAGGAGTGCAGATGTGCTTTTATTAATTATCCACAGTTACCCCATTTCCAATGAAATAACTGCACCATGGGATTTTGGCCTATGTGTTGTTTTTGTTGCTGAGTGGCCTTTTAGGCCAGATGGGCGGGGTATAAATCAATCAAACAATGTTGTACGCCGCCCAGAAGCCACTGGCGATGGTGCGGCTAAAAAATATTGTAAATAAATAAATAAATAAATTTAGTCTTGCATTAATTACATCTGGGAATCTGTGTTATAGAATGGAATACTTTGTATTTAAGCTAGATAGGGAATGTTAGTTATGTTAAATAGTTATGAAATGGTTTAAATAAATTCAGGTATTTATCTACTTAAAGCATTTTTGCCCTAATTTTAGTTAGAATAGCTAATGAAGTGGCTTATATACAATCAGTAACAAACCCTGCAGATTTATAAAACATATGATAGAAAAAGAGGAGGGAAGAAGAAAATGGACACAAATATCAGTTCTTAAGCTTACTTTGTTATTTGTGCAGTAGCAGCTGGAACTGAGACATTTTGAGAAGAGGTGGAGGCTGCTAAATGAAGCTGGTCTTTCATGAGAGCCTTTGGTGTAGAATGTGCTTCTTATCTGTATAGTGGTTGCTGCATAGTACATTTTAATTTCTGGAGTACGGTGTCTTCTGTCTGAAAATGCTCTCAGTAGCCGTAACCTTGAAAGCATAATGACATCACTTTTTAGTACAAATTCAAGTTATTGTAGGGTTTTTAATTTAATGCAGAGAGGGCAACACATGTCCAGTCTTAAAATATTAATAATAATATCTAAAATAGATGGTAAAGTAAAAGTATATGTTTCTATACTATATGTGTGTCAGAATACATATTAGGAAGGAGGAAAATCAGCAAAAAATCAGTTTGAAGATGTGAGGAAATGGCACTTCAAATTAGCCACCAGTCTATTTTTCAGAGCATTTTGTCTGACTCATTGAAGTAATAAAGAGAATAATCTACTTTTGGAGGGGAAAACAACTTTACCCATATGAAGAGTCAAGATTCTGGTCACAGAGATGTCACAGCACTTATTGCTGCTTAGTACTTCATGAGTGTCTATGAAATTATTAGACACCTACCCTGTTTGTTTCATTTAAGCATGTACAAGAGGGAGTCTTGTAACTGATAGGCAGTAATGTTATCTTTGCTGCATTATTCTGAGCTTTATAATCTTGCTATATTTAAAATGCCTGATTCTGCAGTACAGACCCTTGAATCCAGATGATGTGTTCTGAATTTATTCTCCTATAGTTCCTAATGATTTCAGCAAATAGGACATTCAAATCCTGATTGTTCTCTTCTAGTTTTAGTTTTTGGATCAGGGAAGCATGCTTTTGTTCAAGACCAATCTGTAGATTGTATCTAAATATAGTTCGGCTTACTGTAGACCCACTGATATCAGCAGGACTTAATTATTTCTAATTTAAATCCCATCTATTTCACAGGCATATCATCTTTGACTAAATCTGGGTGTAACCCAGTATAAAGGATTATCATACAACAAATAAATGTCGCTGAGAAGATAGGAAATCCCATTTACCTGCCAGTCATGATCAAATGTCACTTTTGGTCTATGCAGAAAACATGATATATGGAAATGATACTGCTCCATCGTCTTTGGAATATAACATTTAATTGAAATCTGATTTTAAAAATTAATTGTGGCATTTAAAATGATATGCAGTCCAACCTGACCTTCATGCATGACTTAAAATAAAGGATGACATCTTGCTGTCTTGAAAACATGTAGTGTCTCAGTAATAGTTATAAAATAGCAAAGTGCTTCATCGCCCACATTTTGTTTTGTTTTGGGTTTTTTCCTTTCGCAATACTGATTACTAACCTTTGAATTATATTGCTTAAGGCTATAGTGTCACTAAAATAGCTCTCTGTGTACTTGAGCTGTTTTAAATGTTGCTTATATATTTCAATAACCTTCAACCAGAAGGATTTTTTAAAAAGGCATAATGATTGTATGCTTTCAATCCTTCCATCTACTGTTTAGTTTTGTTCTAAATTTTTAGATTAAGTGCTTTAAAGTTTTTACTTTTTCATATATCTCATGCAGGTTGAAATGGATATTGTTGAAAAACTGGTAAAAATGGTGCCATGTGAACATGAAGACCTGCTAAATATCACTCTACGACTTTTACTGAACCTTTCATTTGATACGGGCTTGAGAAATAAGATGGTTCAAGTTGGACTTCTTCCAAAACTCACTGCACTCTTGGGTATGTTTTGTTTTGATTTCGAGCTACTGATAACACAGTTCATAGAAGTTCATCAGAGAACTGTGTTTTACATTGATTTCTTATTGTCATTGATTTCTATAATTACGCTGCAGCATTCACGGATAAGTCAGGAGTAGACAACCATTATAGTTAAGACAGCTTGGGAGACACATTGTGTGTAGGGATCTTTAGGTTGGAGGCCACATATTCTCTAATCTATGGTCATGTATTGCCTTCTCTGTGGGCATTACAGTTGCAGCCAAAATTGGGTTCTATAGTGCCTCTTGCTGCATTGCAGAAACCTGTTAGAGAAGGAAAAGAAGGCTGTTGTAGCTTTTAGAAACTGAGGTCAGGGAAGAGAATGGCTGTGTTTTCCTTGAATTGGGATCAGCATTGCAAGAGAGACTGGAGCATAGATTTAATGTGTGGAGAATGGGAAAGCTTTTGAATGGGGGGTTTCAATATCAGCAGCACTATATGTTTTGGCAGATTGGTGAACAAAAAAAAGTTTCTATACTTGATTTGTAATTCTGTGGAGTTAATAGAGACACATCAAGCAGTATAGTCAGCATGTTAACTTCCCTTTTCCCGATGATCATATTTTGTACTCTTTTGATTTAAGCTTATAGAGTGCCAACTAAGCAGATGCACTGCAGGCTGGATGCTGTTTATACTAATATTGAATTTCTTATCAGCAAGATAACACATAGTGTGAAATGCTTGCTCACATTCTGCCATTTATATGATCATAGTGTTAGCAGTTGCTTTAAATGACTGCAGGTCTTTTGGTGTATAGAGTCAACATATTCTCACAAAATGTTTTAGGGCTGTCTACATATTCTCACAAGACTTTTCAGAGTTATCTACAGAAACATCTAATGCTTTTGCATTTTATGAACTGTTAGGATAGTGTACCCTATGTGTTTTGATTAAGTATTTATTTATTTAAAATATTTAAATAAATGTCTTGGGCATCCAGGATCAGAGATGAATCCAGGAACACCCCCAAGCTGTGCACCTGTGCTTTCAGAGGGAGCCTAACCCCATTCAGCACATATTGCAGCTTTGTTGCTTGGCTTGCCTTTCAACTGACCAGAAGCACATATTGCAACTTTGTTGCTTGGCTTGCCTTTCAACTGACCAGAAGTACCTCTGTTTTGTCTGGATTAAATTTTAGTTTATTCACCCTCATCCAGTCCATTATTGACATCAGACATTGATCTAGAGCTGAAACTGCTTCCTCAGATTTCGATAGCAAGGAGAGGTAGAGTTGGGTTTCATCTGGTGATACCGAACTGCGTACCTCTGGATAGCCTCTCCCACTGGTTTCATGTAGATGTTCAACACAGGAGACAGAAAAGAATCCTGAGGGACCTGGCAGGCCAGTGGCCAGGGTGTCAAACAGGAGTTGTTCAGCACCACCTTCTAAGTTCTCTCTGCCAGAAAAGACCAGAGGCAATGTAAAACAGTGCCAAGTCCCACCCCAGAGAGACGGGCCAGAAGGATACAATGGTTGATGGTATCAAGAGCTGGTAAAAGATCCAGTAGAACTAACAGGGCTACACTCCCCTTGTCCAGTTCCTGGAATAGGTCATTCATCAAGGTGACCAGAGCAGTCGCCATCACATAACCAGACCTGAATCCAGATTGAAATGGTTCTAGATGGAGCTGAGAAGTTAAGGGCATGGTCCTTAACAGTTGTACTTTTCCAACATAGTGGATGAGCAAGAAATGCACTGGAAACAAATACTTACAAGAAGAGACTGAAAGAAGTGGTCATGTTTAGCCTTGAGAAAAGAAGAGTGAAGGGAGATATAGTGCTTGAAAGGTTATCATACAGAGGATGGGCAGAATCTGTTCTTGATCATCTCAGTGTGCAGGACACATAATAATGAGCTCAAGTTACAGAAAGCCCGATTTAGGCTGAATACAGTGGTGCCTCGACTTATGACCATAATCCGTTCCAGAAGATGGGTGTAACTCGAAATGGTTATAAGTTGGAGTACCATTTCCCATAGGAATGCATTGGAACGCGATTAATCCGTTCCAGCATATTAAAACACACACACACACACAAACACAAACAAACACACACCACAGCCAGCCCCATTGGAACGGGATGGGGCTGAAAAACAAATTAAACCCCCCCCCACACAGAGCCAGCCCCATTGGAATGCGATGGGGTGGAAAACAAATTAACCCCCCCAAAACTAAACAGAGCGAGCCCCATTGGAACGCGATGGGGTGAAAAATAAATTACCCCCCCACACACACACACAGAGCCAGCCCCATCGGAACGCGATGGGGCTGAACACCCCCCAAAAACTAAACAGAGCAAGCCCCATTGGAATGCGATGGGGCTGAAAAAACACATACACACCAAACCACCAAAAAACATAACATCACAGAAACATAACCCCCCCCCCCAAACCCAAACCTATCCTGCAAAACAAAGTAAATGTACTTACTCAGGAACAGAAAGCAGCACCAGGTAGTCCAAAGCCGCCTCTGACGCACACAGTCTAACCGCTGGGGCGAAAGAGCTACAAAGAAGCTCTTTGCCGATCAACGGTTAGTACTCTAATTTTTATTCCCCGCCTTTTTTCCCTGCCTCTTTTGTTGCAACTCGAAGCTCCAGCCGCAAGTTGAAGCAAACTTTTGTCGCCATATCTGTTCGCAACTTGAAATGGTTGTATGCCAGGACGGTCGTAAGTCGAGGCACCACTGTATCAGAAAAAAAATCCTGTTAGACTAGTACAACAGTGGCACTAATTACCTGGGGAGGTGGTGAGCACTCCGACATGGGAGGCATTCAAGAAGAAATTAGACAACCATCTGTCTGGCCTACTTTGTTCTGGATTTGTGCATTGAGCAGAGTGATGGACTCCTTTGTAAGTAGGAATCGGGTTGGAATGGTGCCCATTCGCAGAGCGTTTCACCATGAGGGATGTGTTTGTATATAATACTCTGATCAAGTACAGCAGCCTACGATCGATGGATGTGCCCTCAAGCTTCTCCCACAGTTTTATCCTTGCAATGGAGTCGAAGGCTGTTTTTAGATCTACAAAGGCTGCATGCAATGTCCCTGTGTTGCCTGCCGCGTATTTTTCTATTAGATGTTGCATTATCATAACCTGTTTCAGTGTGGTCCTTCCTTCCCTAAATCCTGCCTGCTCCTCTGTGATCAGATTTTCTTGGTCGACCCAACTTTTACATTTATCTAAAAGGTGACTAGCATAGAGTTTGCTAATTATACTTAGTAGACTAATAGGTCTGTAATTAGCTGGATCTTCTCTCGTGCCTTTTTTGTGGAATGGAACTATAATAGCCCCCTTCCAGCCTTCTGGGGTAAGCCCTGAGGAGTCTATGTTGGTAAAATGGAGGCCAACAGTGGGACCCAAAATACCATGTTCTGTTTAAGTAGCTCCAGTGGAATGCTATCTATACCAGGAGCTTTGCCATTTTTAAGTTGACTAATGAGTGATTCAGCTTCATCTGTCGAGAGTGGGGGCCACACTGGTAAATCCATCTCCATTTACAGTAACGTTTGACTGGGGGGGTCAGCATATAATTTCTTAAAATATGACCCCCATATGCTAGCTGGTATAAGGGAGTCTAACAGTGCAGATTCCCTGTGGGTGTTACGGGATATCAGCTTCCAGAAAAGGGCCGAGTTGTTCAGCTTGGCTGCTTGGATTAATTGGTCCCATGATGCCATTACATTGACTTTCTTCTTCCTAGCCACCACTTTCTTATATGAGTTTTTCATCTCTAGGATGTGTAGCCGAAATGAGCGGGTGTCACCACCGGGAACTGTTCGGTATGTCTGGTACATGGAATTGAGTGCTCATTTGGCTTCCAGACATTCCCAGTCAAACCATTCTTGGGAATGCCTAGTTACGTAATTACCTTGATTCCTATTCCGCGTTACCAGCAGGGGGTTCAGTCCCTGTATTAATTGCTTGTAGGGGAGCAGAAAATCCATACCTGTGTCGTTATTCATGATGGCATTGCGCCGTGCACTCTCCTGCCAGCATTTCCTTGGCCTTTTTCCCAAGGGGGGGTCCATTTGGCCCTACATCCCTCCTGGCTGGAGGGTTTGATGTTTATTTTGGGCAGCTTTTTAAGTTGGACTAAGTGGGAGGCTAAATCCATGTTTAAAAAAAGAGGTAAGCGGTTGTTCTCCAGGTCTGGGAGGACTTGGAGGCTTGTGACTAGTGGTAATATGTTGTTACTAACCAATATGTAATCCATGGTGCTGCATCTTGTACCAGCCATGAAGGTGAACTCTCCAGGATAATCTCCTGTAGTAGATCCGTTCAAACTTTGGAGATTGAATCACCTAGTCATTGCTGCTAGCTGGGAGCTGATAAAATTTGCCTTGCTGTCTCTGGAGAGTCGTGCGTAATCAATTCCACAACTCTGTTCAGGTCTGGGCCCCTCCTTTAGGGAGAATTGTTTGGCCCAATTCTCACATTGAAATCACCCCCCCCCCTCTGTATAGTCCTATCCACAGGGTTCTCTACTATTAAGTTGTCTAAATAGCCCTCCAGGGCGGACCAGGTGTTCTTGACATGGGCCTTACCGTGTTGGGGGTTGAGATAGATATTTACCACCAAGATCATTAGATCTTTGAATTTGAGGCAAGTTGCCATTGCCAAGTCCTCCAGAGAGAGCAGCTGTCTACAGCTTACTCCCAGGGAGGTAGAAACCAACATATACAGGCCTGCTTTGAGCTTCCCGGGCCCAGCCCTGGGAATTGCACTGTTAATGTAGGAATAGTAACCGTCAACCCTAATTTCCTTATCTGTCCAAGTCTCCTGAAGCAGGATTATATCTTAATTCCTTTGGAAGAAAGGATAGTCCTGGCTTTTGTAGTGAGCCCATCTGGCAATGTTCCATGAGGCGATGTTCATAAATTTCTCTGAAGCCATCTTGGACTTGTCTACATTCAGTCAGGCTGAGCTTACTGGCTGCTATAGAAAGAATAGGATCATCTT